CATGAAAAGTTGTTCAGGAGTGGCTTTACAAGGGGAATACGACATTTGAAGCCCATGTCCAGGATCTGTCTGTGTGTGGTGGCTCTTGATGCACAGACTCCGGCCTCAGTCCACTCCTTGTGAAAGTCCCCAACACTTTTGAATGGCCATTTCCTGACAATCCTCTCCAGGCTGGGGTTCTCCCTGCTGCTTGTGCACCTTTTTCTTCCACACCTTTCCCTTCCACATAACTTTCTATTAATGTGCTTTGATACAACACTTTGGGAACATCCAACTTCTTTTGCAATTACCTTTTGAGGCTTTCCCTCCTTATGGAGGGTTGTCAATGATGTTTTTCTGCACAACTGTCAGGTCAGCAGTCTTTCCCATGATTGTGTTTCCTACTGAACCAGACTGAGAGATCATTTAAAGGCTCAGGAACCCTTTGCAGGTGTTATGGCTTAATTAGCTGATTAGAGTGGGACACTTTGAGCCTAGAATATTGCACTTTTTCACAATATTCTAATTTTCTGAGATTGTGGATTTGGGGTTTTCATGAGCTGTAAGCCATAATCATCACAATTATGACAAATCACGGCTTGAACTATCTTGCTTTGCATGTAATGAGTGTATCTCATATATTAGTTTCACCTTTTAAGTTACATTAGTGAGATAAATGAACTTTTGCACGATATTCTAATTATTTGAGTTTTAACTGTATATATAGGTCACATAAGGACAGGATGGATATGAGATGTGCAAAAGAGGAGGGGAGTGAAAGGGTTAAAAAAAATCCACAGGCAATGATATTCCTTCATCTTGAATCTACTGCTGTTGATCCCTTCATTCATCCCTTCAGTGCTTTTAAGTGTGCACTATAGATTGGTCATCATATTAATCAAAAGGTAAAGAGCCAGTCCAATCAGCTTTGTATGTTGTATTTGTGAACTGAGCAGTTAGATGATCACAACCATCCATGGGAACACTGACTGCCTGTGTGTGTTTTCTGGAGTACCGTTTATAATCAGCACTCCATAAATACACATCTACCACTCCACTGGTGGATTAAACAGATCCTCAATCAAAAGATCAAACAGAATGCAACGAGTCATGAATCATGGCAGATTTTCTGTTTTGGAAGCTTTGCAACATCCATATGTAGGCTGTGCAGGATATGAATTTTTTTACATAACATAACATACAGTACATAAATAACAAAAGCGGAAGTCGCATCACAGCTTATTGTTTGCAGTGATGCACTTTTTTCCCTATGCTTTAGAAAAATAGTGCCTGGGCATACTTTTGAGACAGTAAACACTTTGGTCAGGAATATACAGACTACAGAAACCCTGACTAATGGAAACCCTGGCCCTGTTGATTTTGCCCTCAGTGAAAACTTAAAATGAGCTTTTGTCACTTTTAGATTTTCTGAAATCTCATTCAATGACCATTCTCCCCAATCTGTAAATAAGAGTTACTACAGAAAGAAAGTTTTGAGTTTAAATAATACCCTTTGTTGGCTAATCCAGCTTGGGCACCAAATCATTACCATGAGTTCCCAGCAGGATTGTGAATAAAAAACCGAGGCTGTCATCCCCAGCCCCTCCCCCCATCCACACACACATACATATACACACATACCATATATGGGATCCATTGCAGCTCCTCCTTTGAACTGTATGACATCCAGGGTCTTCATTTCCGATGAGTCGGCATCTTGTGGGGGGAGGGCAGAAGGATGAGTGGCATGGCCTGCCACCCCCTTTCCCACCAGAGCATACTAGATTGGTAAGAGCCGGGCGCAGATATGTATAAGGGCCATACACATCCCTCCTCTCAGCTCTTAGCAACCTGGGACATGCTTTCCGGTGTCCAGCTGAGCTCCTGGCAACCTGTAATGTCACTGGTTGCCAGGAGCTCGATGGGACACTGTACCCGTCCCCCCCTGCTGAAGGAGGCAAAAAAAGTTAGAAACACCCCTGATGACATCTAGCATCATTTCCTGTGAGCCCTGAGCTTCAAGGATCCATCATCTGCCATGGACTTGCAGGAGAATGCTGCAGAGAGTGGATCCACATTATTGTGTGGCTGCCCTCTCGGGATCTTCTCACCACCATAGGAAGGAAAAGGCAAAGAAGAACCTATGATTGCTGAATAAATGTAGGTATATTGATTTTTGCTGAACAGCTGCTCCAGTGGGGGAGGACAAAGTAGTAGTGGACATGAGCCCATAGTCTTGCTAAAGGTAAAACCTAATGAAGGGAACTGATTAAAACTGGAGCAGACAAAATCTGAAGCAGCTGTGCATGGCAACCAATCAGCTTCTCTCTTTCATTTTCATAACTTAACTGACCAAAATGAAGAGAGCAGCCGATTGGTTACCATGCACAAATGCTCCAGATTTTGTCTGTTTTAAAAGATGCGTTTTAAAACCTTGCTTTAACTCTGAACTCCAATGGTTTGACATTGATTGATGGTTAACACTGTAGAGCAGGGGTGCCCATTAGGTAGATCGTGATCTACCAGTAGCTCTCAAAGCTAATGCTGGTAGATCCCAAAGGGTGTGAATAGCAGCCCCTTTATTCCATTTTGGTATATCTATTTAGCTGTGCACACATGATTACCTATTAGCCTGAGTCTGCTGAGCCTAGCTCACTGACACCTTTCTAGTGGATACTGGTGGTTGAAGTGTTATGTATTACATCAAAGAATATTAGTTTACACAGCCTGTTGCCAAATACAGCAAGGTGAGCCAGGGGAGAGAGAGCCAAGGGAGAGAGCAAGGAAAGGCAGCCAGGAAAGAGAGAGGAGAGACAGCCAGGAATGAGAGCGCAAGGAGAGACAGCCAGGAGAAAAAATGAGGAATGACAGCCAGGAGAGAGAGAGCGAGGAGAGACAGCCAGGAGAGAGAGCAAGGAGAGACAGCCAGGAGAGAGAGCAAGGAGAGATAGCCAGGAGAGAGAGCAAGAAGAGACAGCCAGGAGAGAGAGCAAGGAGAGACAGCCAGGAGAGCGAGGATAGACAGCCAGGAGAGAGAGAGCGAGGGAGATTTCATGTAGCTTGTCATTTGAAAAGTAGATCTTAACACAAAAAATTGTGGGCACCCCTGCTGTAGAGGTACATCAAGCACCACTAACCATTAAGGCTGAGGGGGCTTTTATCAGGGCCAATAAGAGTACCAATGACCACCAGTGTATGCTTTTGGGGTTGCATAAAATGCTGCCAATGTACACCAAAGTAAAAAAAAATTTATCAGTAATGTAGATTGCTCGGCTCCAGTACAGAGTTCTGGGTACTGCAGAAATGGGTCCATATGGGCCTGGCGAACTTAGGGCATGACAAAAATTTGCTACGGGACCTAATGATATTTAGTTACTCTCCTGATTAAGAAAGTCACTTAAAGTATGGCTGGGCAAAAAAAAACAATGTTTAGTACATATTTGCAATAGCTGCACATTTTCCCATGTTTTGTCTCTAAAGCTCCTTTCAGCTGCTCTCTCTAAAAATGGCTCTTACAGCCCCTCATCTTCCCACAATGTCCTACAGAACTAAAGTCCCTATCTGTGGAAGCTGGCACATCTGTCTGTCTTTCCAGTAGCTGTCCCATGGAGTTAAATTGCAGCAGCCATTTTGGGGTAGTTGGAAGTCAATTAAACTCAATTTTAACCTGCTTAGGAATTATGAACAACCCTACCACATAAACGGTGAAGATATCAGTTTGTGAAAGTATTAGTAAAGGCAAAGTTTTTTTTAGATTTATATAGAAGTGTGAGGGGTTAGAACCACTTTTTTGTATTATTGTCTGTGTCCTTTTTAGGAAGGTTCACTCTCGCTAATGTTCCTGATCATCAATGTCACTCGGAATGACATTGAGGGTAAATCCAAAATATTGAGCTGCTACCAGAACACCAGGACACTTGTTACTTGTCACAACTGTCTCAGTGGGGATTTTCTTCACATTGAAAACATATCCTCTTACTTACTATTATGTCTACAGTACAGGAAGTGTACAGAAATCTTCCTAATAAGACACAGATGAAAGAAAACTGACAGTGGTAGTAACCCTCCCCTACTTTATATTAAATGCAAATATTTTTTTCTGCCCTTATAAACAGTTCTGCTTTACATTAACATAGCAAGTAGCATAATACATGTCTCAGAAGTGCCTACAAATAGGTTGGAACTTTTATGCAGGTGATGCAATTTTTAGCTCTCTTGGATAAAGCAACTTGTATTTTAGAAATGCTGGTCCTTTAAATATGTGTTGTATGTATGTAGAGCAGAAAGATGTTCTCCTCAAACTTAAAGTACAGTACATTTAAAAATTTGTGTGAATCCACGTGTAATGTATGGGTTTAATTAGAGTTCCTCTATAATAATAAATTAAGACAGAAACTAATGAAGAACTTTGGATAGGAAAATGTATGAATAATTCATATGTCGAATATTTATAGTTTAACACCACTAATTGAAACATTTATTCAGTATGAAAATTTCATTTGAATATAAATAAGATGGTGTCCCGTATATCTTTATGTCAGATGATATTTCCATAAAATGTTGAAATCTTAACGATAATACACAAAAGAGTTTTCTTCAAGATTGTATTTCCTCTGTAAAAATAAAGTAGTAATTTTTACTGACAAAGCAATGTTTAAGAAGATTTACTACTTTCATCAGCTTTGGCCCTTTAAGAATGTTGTATCACATCCCTTGAATTAATAAAAGCTAAAATAGTTGGCTGTGTTATGCCTAGATATTGAAAAAGAACTGTTTTTGTTGATATTTTACATAACTTAAACAAAACAACATGAATCTATTTATTAAATACATTTTTCATTATTTAAGTAGTTTTTTTATCATGGTGGGTCAGACCAATTATTATATTATGTGCTTTCAGTAAACTTTTGTGCATCTCAACATGCATCAAAATGATTCCGAAAACGTATTCAGGGTTAAATTAAGCTCTTTTAATTCATCCAAAGGTATATATATTTTAAAATAAAAATTATATTTTGCAGTTGATAAAATGCAAAACCAGTGGGAGGAAGTACAGTGTCACCTCCAAAATCGAAGACAGCAGCTACAGGAAATGCTTAACGATTCTGTCCAGTGGATAGAAGCTCGTCATGAGGCAGAACAGGTGTTGGAGAAAGCAAAAGGAAGGATTGAATCTTGGAAAGAAATTTCATATACCGTTGAAGCACTAAAGAAGCAAAATACTGACCTTAAGGTATGTTATCTGTTTTGTTCTAACCATTGGGGTGGTGAGTAATTTGTTAGCCAGAACTTTTAGTACTACTAATTGCTAGGCATTATTCTTTATTCATGAAAACTAACCTACTGGCAGTTTACTCTTTTTCTGAATCTATTATGAACCACATAATCCAGATTCCTTTTTATGTTAACACCAACTTCATCTAGAAAGTTGTTGCTTTGCATTAAACAAAGTAGGGATGCAACTATACCACTTTTTCAAGACCAAGTACAACTACTTTCCCTCAGGTTCTTGCCGATACCAATTACCAATACTTTTTCTTAAAGGGACATCTGACATTTTTTCTAGAACAATACAGACTCATGATTTTAGGACAGTTTCTTTATAATTTTGAAGAACTGTAATTCAAACCATGATTATTCAGCAATAGAGAATAGCAACCAGCAATCATGGATTGCTGAGATCTGTAGTCCTCTATAGCCAGTTGCTATTCTCTATTGCATTTTATTAGCACTGTGACATACACCAATCAGAGAATTACAATAGGCAGCCACAGTATAAAAGTTTACTTACCTGCTCTCAGGAGGGTATGGTAGGCTCCAGAAGGGCTGTGAGGGTCACTCAAAAGTGTGGTGGTGTGTCTGTGGGCATTCACCAGGACTATGTGCAGTCTCAACAGGGCGGCATGCAGGTCTCACCAGAGCGGCATGCGGTGTCTCACCAGGGCTGCATTTGGGTTTCACCGGTGCTGCATGCAGATTTCACCAGGGCTGCGTTTGGGTCTCACCATGGCTGTGTTTGGGTCTCACCAGTGCTGCATTTGAGTTTCACCAGGGCTGCATTGGGATTTCACCAGGGCTGCATTTGGGTCTCACCCAAGTTTTTATTGGGTCTCACCAGGGCTGCATTCGCATCTCACCAGGGCTGCATGTGGGCTCTACAGGGCTGTACCAGCGGGTGCTGGGCTTCGGGCTCTTCAGGGCTGCAATCACGACTCTCTCCATGGCTATACTGGCGGGTGCCAGGTGTCAGGTTCTCCAAGTGTGGGGCTGTCCTTGGCTGTGCTGATCTTGGGAAGGAGAAGCAGATGTATGGCGTGACCGGCACTGCCAAGGACAGTTACTGCGAGGTCCCCAGCAAGCTGCCTGAGGTCCCCAGAATGCAGGGAACTCAAGGAAGCCAAACTTGTTTAACCTCCCTGGCGTTATTCCCGAGTGTAGCTCGGGGTTTCTTTTTCATACCATAAGCGGTAACCCCGAGCTACACTCGGGAAAGCTGCATAGCATTTACTTACCTTGTCCCGCGAGCCGCGCTGTGTTCTGCGGCCGATTCCGGCTTCCGTCACTTGTGAGCGTACGCGTCACAGGGGGGCGGAACCGGCGGGATATTTTAAAAAATTAAAATTAAAAAAAACGACAAAGACGAAAAACATTCGGGAAAAAAATAGACCGAAAAATGACATGAAAACAATTTAAAATCATACCGCCAGGGAGGTTAAGTATTTAAAGGGTCGATATAAGCCTTTAGAATCGGGGCATTTTCATGAGTACTCGTGAAAATGCCCTGTATTTGTCCCGATACTAGTATTGCTATTGGTGCATCCCTAAAACAAAGTTTCAGAATCAATTTAAAATGGTTACACTTAACACAAATACACTTTAAAGTAATCTCAAGACAAAGTCACTGCGCTAAAAAAACTTACAACTTATACATAATTATACATAAACAATAAAGTGCCTAGTGATAGGCCCAACATAATATGCAACCTCCCCTATAGTTAAATTCAATACAATCTCAAAACTGCATGTGCAATGTGTTGTGATACAGATCACATGTGTAACTCCACAAATTGGTCTAAAAAAAAAAAAGACTCTTTAAGCAATACATAAAGTGCAAATGTTCAACATTCCAAAAAGGTATTTCTTAGTGTGATATCCTTACAGGTCTATTCACTAGTCTATTCAAGAGTGAAGAGTTTGGAGAAGGCAGGAGAAGTGAACAATCTAGGACAAAATAGCCGATTTGGAAACATTCTCCAATTCAGCTCACTTTCCAGTTCAGCTATTTTATCCTGGATTGTTCCCTTCTCCTGCCTTCTCCAAACTCTTCACCCTTTTGTGAATAGACCCCTTTAAATTTCTGTGTAATCAATACACTCACCAGACTCCTTTGAACCACTATTTAATGGTCAAACTGCACTCAGATTCAAATCCTTAGCGAGCCACTCTCCCAGGACAGCTGATGGCAACCTCCTTTGCAGTCAATATCTCCTTTCAGTTTGCTGGGGTTTTTTTAAAACTGTTTGTGGGGTCAAGTTGTTCCAATTCCTGTCAATCCACCTTCTAAATTGTCAAAATTAGCCTCCTCAGCACATTTCTCCTTGTAGTTCATTCAGTAGCCCCATGGAAAAAAAAATATAGACGCCACATAGTGTGAAATCCTTAAAAACTTTTAATCATAGATTCCTTAAAAACTTACATTCAAGGCTTAATAGGCAGAGCTGTATAATTACTCCACTTGCAAACAGCTTCTCCCCCAGTGATCAGCTTGATGACATCAGCGTGTTAACTCCTCCTTGACATGCTTCGTCAGGAAGACTTTTTCAAAAAGTCTGTGACAGCTGTCAGGAAGGAGAGCGAGTGCAAACACTCAGTGATCAGTGATCGCTGAGTGTTTGTAACATTTTTGGTTTCAGCCTGACAATTTTTTTATTTTGGTTTCATTTCGGTTTTGACATTTCCATTTCAGTGCACCTCTAATAAATACCTCCCTGTTCCTTATCTGCACATACGTTTACTTTAACGGGCTGAAAACTGTCCCTACTTCTCCAATAGAAGCCTAGAATGTTTTTAAAATTGTAGCACCCCTCATCTTGGGGTGATGCAGAACAAGCCCCTAAGTAGTGTGGCAGGCCAACATTTGCATATCTAGCAAGTCTGGTTCTTGGTGTATGATGGGAATATCAATAAGTTGGGTGCCAACTTCTACCCAGCTCCTCTATGGCACTCTTCAACATGAAGATTCCTTACAGGTATTCCGTTAAGGCAGCCATCCTTTAGCCTACAGATATACACTTCAGCAGGGCAGCTAAAGTCCTAGGCCTCCAGCACATGTTGCTGACTGAGGCAAGGCCCAAATATTGAAATACTCTAGACAGACATCCTCTTCAGGCAGAAGCAAAAGAGGTGTAGAACACTCTGAAAAGGTAGTACAAATATTGAGCATCTCCCAAAACCATGGTTGGATCAGGCAATTATAACTGAGTGATTGTACTTTCCGCACTGTATACTGATCATCCTCAAAAGCAACAGGCAGAAACAATTAACACACTGAGCTTAGGAGAACTAGCAGGGCGTAGAACAATGTAAACAGGGCTCAGGGTGATTACAGTCTACCTACAAAAAAAAAATGATATTTCATGATATATGATGATATTCATAATATATGAATGTGTCCATTCTTATTCCACCAAATCAAACAGTCCACTATAACCACAATTATGTATCAGTTCCTAAATATACTGTGTTAAATAATAGTCCATAATAACCACAATCGTATGTGATATCAATTGTTAATCTTCACAAATACTGCACTTCAGCGCAGTGTATCGTCTGTGCTGTGATTTTCTGAACACAAACCTGTGGTGCTCTTTAGTTTAACACACCACTTGATTGCCCAAAAACTTCCACATGTCCACAACCTTTTGACAACCTTGCTCACCTTCCTGTGGTGACTGCAAGCAACATATATGTTTGGTCAAAATGCACTTAATAGTTCCATCTGATTTATCCTCCCTCAGTTCTGAAATGTCCTTGTTTTCTAACTCACAGGAATACAAACATATGGCGCATTGCATAAAACCATAAAATACTATTACCTGGGCGTATTACAGGCTGTATGAACGCGCTACAAAACGCCCTACACCCAAAGAAGTACAGGAGCTTCTTTGGGGCGTATTTGTCGCGCGTATCCATTGGGATACAGCCAGGTAGCCCTTGGAAACGCGCGTTTGTCGTGCGGTTTTTTAACCGTGAATCGCTGTAAAAACGCACGGCACGAAACCCGCGACAAACGCTCATATTCGATATGCCTAGGTGTGAACCCAGCCTTAGACTTGTGCTTCAGTCTTGGTTGGTTTCCAATCTCCTAGGGTATCATCAGCTGCACTCCAGGCTGAACGAGTCCTCTCTCTCCCAACACTTCCGGGTCTGCTTATGGTTTAGGACACAGTCCTTGTACCCATCACACACAGAGCCACTGTTCCATCAGATAGGAGGTGGGTGCAACAGGTGTCAATGGGTGGCTTCCGTCAAAGTATAGGTAAAGAGTGGCCCCGTGCACGCCAAGGCAAGTCCAGTATGTCTATTTATTCCCTCACTTTTTGCAAATACAAACACTATATACAACCTTTCGGGGGTCTCACAGGATCCCCTTCATCAGTGATTGTTCGCCTGATGAAGGGGATCCTGTGAAACCCTGAAACGTTGTATATAGTGTTTGTATTTGTAACAAATATGTGAATAAATAGCTGCACTGGACTTGCCTTTGAGTGCCGGTGTCCGTCCTTTACCTATGCTTCTGGTTTAGCTCCCCTATTGCTCCAATAAGTAAGGAGCAATAAGGAGTGGCACACCAAGCACTTTACAATAGCACGGGATATAAAGATTAAAAATTAATGATACAATAGGGTACACTGTTTATATGAACTAATATTAGTCAATACTATAAACTGTATGTTAGGGATGCACTGATACCAATATCAGTATTGGTGCCTATTAAGTGCATTTTCATGAGTACTCATACTAATGAAAATGCCTGATTCTAAAAACTGATACCATCGCTTTAAATTTTTTAATTGATTCGGCTGCCTGAGGCCCCGTGCTCTGCCCCTGCTGAGACCCACCAGCTCTGCCCCTGCAAAGGGACTCCGCATCTGCCCCTGCTGAGATCCTCCACATCTGCCTCTGCTGAGACCCTCGTCATCTGCCCCTGTCGAGACCCTCGTCATCTGCCCC